AATTTACACTTTACTCTTCTCTCTCTTCCTCTTGCTTTTTTTTTCTTTTAAATTTTTCTTAGCAGTATATTAACTGCCACAGTTGTTCATGTCTTCCACTGACTACTGCTAACAACGTCACTCTCAAGTGCTTCAAGCAGGAATGAACCATTTAACGCAGATGCAGGGGGGTTCAGGGCAAATATGGATGTGTGTTTTTTGGGTAACATTAAATTTATACAGCTAAAAACAACCTTGGAAAATTAATTTCATAGGCTCCATTTTTTATTTTAATTTCTATGAACAAAAAATAAATAAATTGTGGAGGGCCCCCTGTTGGTCAGGGGCCCTTAGAATCGTCATAACATCCCTTCCCCCTCAGAATCGCTCCTGCTCTTGGGAGCATAATGTTTGTTCTGGCAGATACAATCATTTTAATTGTAACTTTTTTTTCACATTTTAACAGAATCAAAGATGAACTTCTGCAGTACATAAAGAAGTTTGAACCTCAAAATGAAGAAGTGGAAGCCATCAGGGTTTTACTCTGTGGACCAGTCAGTGCAGCTAAGTCCAGCTTCATCAACTCTGTCAACAACGTCCTGCAAGGGAGGATGACCCATGAAGCTCTGGCCAGCTCCACAACCTCTGATCAAAGTTTTACAAAAATCGTCAGTATAACTTCTTGTTTGATGTTAAAGGCTTATTCTTGGTTTCTTGGCCAGCAGCAACAACTGTGATAGTTGTTTCACCAAGACAATGAATATATATTTTTGTTAGGCATTAAAGGGTCATTCACACTTTTGAAGGTCATGAGGTTTTACTCTTGTCAGGTTGGTGTATCAGCTCAGTCTTCACATGTCTGAGTGAAAATTTATATGATACTTTATATTATAAAATAATAAAAAAAAATTATATTTCACATTCACCCTCGAACCACAGTGTATGGGTCCATTTTAAAGGACAAATCTGCATGTGGACAAAATGTTAACTTTTTTTTGCCCTAATATTCTTAAGTAATCTGGCAGGAAATGCACAACTTTTTCACACACAGGAAAAAAGGTCTCAGGACTTGTCAGTTCCTGTAACCAGCAAGTCTTGAAATATTTGTATTATTTGTATTTTGAAGAAAGTCTCTATGGAAGACCAAAACTGACATAATAAAAATAAAAACAGAAATATAAATATTTTGTTTTTTTTCCCCGCTGTACATAAATTTTTTAAATTAAGCAATGTAAATATATTTTGTTTTTCCTTTTCCTGACACATGCGTTACTGTCAAGAAGTGTATATATTTTGTTTTGTGTTTGTTCTTTTCACATTTCCTTTACTCTTTACTTTTTATAATGCTTCAAGAAGTAGTAACTCACTGATAAACAATACATTTATCAGTGAGTTATTTTGTGATAAAAACAAAATATGTCTACATTTCTTGATAAAAACACATGGGTAGGGAAATATATATTTATTTTTAATTATGTCAGTTTGGGTGCTCCACAGTTTGCAGCTCCTCTCACAATGTAAAATGACTATTTTTTTGTGATGCAAGTAATGTTTATATAAAAAAACATTTTAATCTTTTTACCCTCTCAGTATAAAACCTATAAAATCAAGAAAGAAGGCAGGGGAAACTTTTATCCCTTTGTGTTCAATGACACCATGGGTCTGATGGACGAAGATGGAAGAGGAGTCAGAACAGACGACATTATACTGGCTATGAAGGGACATGTGAAGGATGGATATCAGGTACAAATACTATACTTTTATTTTTTAATTTTAAAATTATCTTCAATTGGATAACTACATATCTCAGTGGTAGAGCAGTGGTAGACATTTTTCCCTTCTCTCACTGCCTTTCTTCCAGTCCAATTACTAATGAACACAAAGTGATCTTCAATAGGCACCTAAATCATCACATTTAGCGTGCCTTATAAGCTACTTAATACCAATTTGACTTAATATGCATCATGTTTTTTCCACAGTTCAATCCTTCAGCTTCTCTTTCCAATAATGATCCTGGCTACAACTCTTCCCCGTCCGTCAGTGACAGAGTTCATGTTCTGGTTCACATTTATTCTGCTAATGCAGCAGAAATGAAATCGTCTGTTTTACAGAAAATGAGGGAAATCAAAAAAGCAGCCAGTGAGCTGGGTAAGGAATGAATTATACAATTATACAGCTTACATTCATCAAAGTAATGTTACAATAAACACCATTGAGTAAATACTGTAAACACTTTACATCAATAATGTGTTGCAAAAATGAAATTAACGTTTATTTACAAGGATTTATTAATTGTGTCTTGAATGTCCACTTTTTATGATTTGCTCCTCTGCTGTACTTGTTAAAATCTATTTATTTCTGATAACATAACATTACCAAAGCAAAGAAACTTTCTGTATCCACAGGAATCTATCAGCTGGCGATTCTCACCCACATTGATGCAGCCTGTGGGGAAACTAAGAATAATATCAGAAATGTCTACAGGAGCACATATTTAGAGAAAAAGGTGAGTTGCAGAAAGATTTATTCAGAACAAAAGAACCTTCCTCACCGTATTAGACTCTGAATGAGCACATATTTTTAAACAGATGACTGACTTCAGCTCCAGTCTGGGGATCCCAATGAACAGTATTTTCCCAGTGAAGAACTACATTCATGAAATTCAACTGGATCCAAACGTCGACGTTCTGATCCTGGACGCCCTGAGACTGATGATTGACTTTGGAGGCGACTACGCTAAAAACAGTGTAAGTCTACAGAACAGTGTGTGATATGCATGGAAATCACAGCAGCGGGTTTGTTCATATCAGTGAATTTAGTGCAGGATCATATCAAATTCATTAACGAACTATGACAAAAAGTAATGTGGAAAACAGAAATAGGACTTTGAAAATAATTGACAAAACAATTAAAAATAGGAAGAAAAATCAGCATAAACCACAATGTAGCTAAAACATAGTCAGTCACAAATGAGAATGATCCCTGTGAAGAGACAAGGATAAGGATGAGGCGGAGGAACAAAGAGAGGACGTCTAAAGAAAATGTGCAGATCTAGAGGAGTTTGGGACAAGGGGTCATAAAACTTGACCATGTGCTCAGGTCTTTGGGACTTGGTGCTTAAAGTGAATATGAGTGAGGGAATGAGAAAAAAAGAGGTAGAAAAAACTTTAGCCCAGCACAGCAACAAAGCATCATGAGAATTTCACCAAATACAAGCGACAACTTTTCAGCAAGAGGCATTAAACAAACAAAAGATGACCAAATTGTCTTGTTTAACTACTTTATTCCAGCCCAGATCTTTAAACTAACCTCTGACGACATTTGTGAGGTGATCAGACTCACTCAGATTCAAAATTGTGTCCAGGGAGACAAGAGAAAAAGTTAAATACCTGAGAACAGCTGCATGACTCTTAGAATATGACAGAGAATTAGAATAGCTTATATGGCAATTATTAAAAAACTAGTAAGTTAGATAAAAAAATAGTAAGTTGGTGGCGTCATCTCATTATAGCAGTGTTTCTCAATTATTTTCTGTCATGCCTCCCCCTGTGATCATAATTTTTTTTTGTGCCCCCGCACTCTGCTCAATGCCCTTTCCTCCCCGTAATTTAAATACTATTGTGAATCTGTTCATATTTAATCATTTATTGTACGAACCACTGGCTCTAGCAAAGTATGACCTTATTATCAAAACCACTGTTTTATTGTTCAAAGTCTCAAAATAATTTCCAAAATCAGTTTATTAAGTGAATCAGTAACATTTAATCAAGAGTACTCAGTTTGAAAAAGAAAAAGTGAAAATTATTCACTGGGATGTGCATTTTTAGACTTAATACAGTAAAACCTTTTACAATTGTAAGAATTGGTTACTATCCTTTCCGGACTATAGCACGCACCTTAGTATAGGCTGCACCTACAAATAAAAAATAAAAAATAAAAAAAAACTGGAAACGTACAGCCGCATGGTTCAAAGTGTGGGGAAAAGTTAATTTTAAAATTAAAAGTCTGAAAAATACATAACTGGTTAGCTTCTTCAGTTTAGTTTTTCACAATTTTTAGAAGAAACGATAAATTGTAATATTTTTGCTTTAAAAGGCTCAACATAAAAAGGTGTGAAACAAAAGAAAAATACATGAAAAAAAAATTTGGAGGTGAAAAAATTAACTCTTCTTTCTTT